ATTTCCCAGATAACTATAGAGATAGTGAGCAAAATAGAAGTCATGATTCGAGACTCTAGAGCAGAAACTGACAAAAAAATAGATGAGCTCAGGACCATGATAGAAGCCATGAAGGCCCAGCATAAGAAAGAAATGGAAAAAATAAACACCCAACATAGGAAAGAAATGGAATCCATAAAACAGATTCAAACAGATATCCAGATTAAACACTCTATTGAAAGTGTACGCAACAGAATAAAAGAATGCGAAGATAGGCTCTCAGATATAGAAGATAAGATTGCAGTCAGTGACCATGAAAAGAGAGGTCTCTTAAAAACAGTAAGAGATCATGAGAAATCGATCCAACAATTCCTAGATGATGCAAAGAAGAATAACATAAGACTGATAGGAATACATGAAGTAGCAGGAGAAAATACAAATGACTTTAAAAAGCTGTTCACAGAATTAATGACAGAAAACTTCCCAAACAGAGGGGAAGAATTTGACATTCAGATAACTGAGGCATATAGGACCCCAACTAGTTACAATCAAAAAAAATCTACACCTAGACATATAATAATCAAGATCCCAGAGACGCAACAGAAGAACAAAATACTATAAGCAGTAAGAGAAAAGAAACAAATAACATACAAAGGAAAGCCCATCAGAATCAAAGCAAACTTTTCAACACAAACCCTTGGGGCAAGGAGAGCCTGGAGTGAGATATTTCAAGTACTAAAAGAGAACAACCTCCAACCTAGACCGATGTATCCAGCAAAACTCTCTTTCAAAATGGATGGGGAAATAAGACACTTCCACGACAAAGAACACCTGAGAAACTACATGAATACCAAACCAGCACTACAAGGAATTCTAAACAAGATCCTAGAAAAAGACAATGAAGGCAACAACACCATGAGGCCCAACAGAGCAAATCAAAAAATAGACTGGCAAAATGGAATAAGAAGCAAAATCCAACAATATGTTGTATACAAGAAACACACCTAGTGCAAAAAGAAGTCCATAGACTGAAAGTGAAAAGATAGAAAACAATTCTCCATGTGACAGGAGCCCAGAAAAAGACAGGGGTAGCAATCTTATTTTCAGACAAAGTAAATTTCAAACCAAAACTGAATCTAGTATTATTGATGTAGGACAATACTGTATCATACCTCTATGAATGTAAAATATCTAGTACCTGCTTTATGATACATAGTAGGGACCGTGCTTTATCAGAGCTACATTTAATGATATTAATCTAGAATGTTCTCTTTCCAGATGATGATTAAGAGTCTAATCGAAAAAATGGTGCCAGGCACCACAACAGCAGCAGAACTTTGCTGTTTTGTGGATATTATTCTTTTCTTTGTTTTTTTGTTTGTTCGTTTGTTTTTGTTTTTTTTTAAATGGAATGTGCTGAATGTCTATAATTTTGTTCAGATGACTGCAGAACCTGGAAAAGCTGTTGCTGCTATCGATGCATAACTATTATTAGTCTTTTTATATA